AAAGTGATCCTGGAAGCCATGGTCGACAAAACGGGAAACACTTCAAACTGCAGATCACTCTAGCTCAAGACTACTCGCTCGCGAGGCAACTCCAGTTCTGGACAGGATCCGTACTGAGCCTGCCAGTCCTGCATGCTGCCTGTAAAAAAAGCAGTCAGCTGGAGACGATGATCGTGTCGATATGTTACTCAGATTGCGCTTGTACTTGTCTTTTTCATGATGTAACATCAATGTTGCAAGTACATGTATGTGTCGTACTGTCGTGGACATGGAAATCCGGTCGAACGATGCGGGGCCAGCGCCCTCAGTGCGTACAGAACGTTGCATGCACAGTGCACATGTTGATCCGATGCGTACTCACGACTGCATGGCCATCACCTTGGGGCCGCTTGACCTCCGACTGGACTTCCATGTCCACGACAGTACGGGCAACACTTTCGGCGCGTGCACGCTTTGCGCAAACCCCACATAATTCGAAAGGGGGAAATCCCTTACTGAGGTAAGCACCACTCTACTTGTTTAGCTGATACAATCGAAATAACCGCTCGATGTATTTCTTATCGAGTAAGTAACGAGTAATCGGCATAATCGCTTCAGCACTAATGAAAACATTGTTGTGTATTATGTTCTGTACTCGGATATTGAGCCAATGTTATCACAAGGAGGAAAACTTCCTTTTGCCAGTGGAGAGGGCTCAACACAATAACGTGGAGCACTATTTAATACGAGGGCTGAAACGATCGTGTATTTTCACCTATCGATTACTCTTTAGCTTAACGATCGATTAATCGATTATAATCATTAGCAAATAGTGTCAGAATTTTGTGCGAAAATTACTCTGTTTGCGAAAGCTAGGCTTTCATATTGCCAAAAATCTGCACCAGTGACAGGGTAGGTCCGAAACATGGCAGTTTTGAAGTCAATTTAACCTCAGAATATGTATGCACTATGTCCCAGGCAACTGCATACTCACAGTGGGAACTGATTCAAACTTCACAAAACGAGGGTTTTCAGTGCTTGTTGGACTCAAAATCCCTAACGAGTAATCTATAACGTAGCGATTACTTGATTGATAAGGAATTATCGATCGTTCACCGAGTAATTAGTATAATCGTTTCAGCCCTATTTAGGGGTCGTCGCAAAAGTTTTTTGTCTTCCCTGAAACGAACATGATTCATTTGGGGGGGGGGAGGGGGTGCGAGCCAAAATCGCAAGTCGACCGACACTGTACATATGACATGTACATGCATGCGATTTTCGTCGTCCAGCATAGCAAGCTGTGTTCGTTTCAGAGGGAGGGGAGGGGGTCCGAGCACGAAATGAACGATGTTCGTTTCAGGGACGACAGAAAACTTTTGCGACGACCCCTTAATACACACAACGGCACAAAGGAGGTTTACAGAGTTCATAGCAACTCCGAGTTTCTTGCACAATGCAATTATCAGGCGACTTATGACATGTTCAGTGGGCGTTGGCCAATATAAAGCATAGTTTGGTGATAGCTACAATTGTAATGAGGATTTGATTCAGCACAGAAAATATTGCCGTGATGGCCATGTGGACGGTCACTCGGGTGAGGGAGCTACTAGCGCAGAAAGTATAGATTATTAGTGAATAACGTTTCTATAGAAGTGGAAGGTGTGAATTTGATTTATGGATACTGTAGTGTGAAAATGAAGTTGAAGACACCACTGCAGCTGTACTTATGGTTGATAAATATGGTGGTAAAGACACACCTGGCAATATGGCGATGAACACATGCCTGCCCACACACGCTCTCTAGGCTGCAAAGTTCTGGCACAGAGCTCTCCTTCTCACCACTACCACCATCAGTTCGCGCCTGGCGCCTGGTCGATGCATGGCTGGCGGTATCCGGCATAGCAGGCTGGTACATCAAGTAGCGCATGGCACATAGATGATGACACGGCAACGACATAGCTCGATTGCGACGTACGTTTCGTCCCCGCTGGACTCGTCAGGCAATCTTCTTCTTGGATGTCTTCATACGGAGCTTGACTCGGGAGAATGAAGTTGAAGACACCACTGCAGCTGTACTTATGGTTGATAAATATGGTGGTAAAGACACACCTGGCAATATGGCGATAAGCGTGTGTTTACCGCCATATTGCCAGGTGTGTCTTTACCACCATATTTATCAACGATACTGTAGTGTCGCGTATAAAAGCATGACTCGAATAGAAGCCGATTTTTGAAGGGCGCCGTGACACAGAAGCATGGTTTGAATAGAAGCCTCTCTCTGCAAAGTACATGTGCACGTATATGCGTGGCAGTATGCACTGCACAGTGCAAACTGATGATGTTGACATAAAAGCATGTTTTGAATAGAAGCATGGTTTGAACCCCGGCTTATACGGCCGTAAGCACCTGCTTTTATACGCGACATTACGGTAAGTAAAGAAAGGACCAAGTGCTGACTGTATAATTAAGATCTAGGTACAGTCTGTATCGGCTATAGAGTGACCAGATGTAAGAATATATCGGCTACAGTGATATTGGTACGAAATATCAAAAGCAAAACGTATTTTATCCAGTAAAAATATCACTATAACCAATATTATCGGACGTAATGATATATCGGATATTATGATGGCAACAAAGAATCAAAACATGCATAACACACTATATTATTATCGGCTATAGTGATAACTTTAACCCTTTATTACCGGCCTGCAGACTTTCGATCATATATGATCGAAAGTCTGCAGGCCAGTAATATCTTCGAACTCCATCATTTCTTGTGCGAATTCAACAATCGAAAGGTCTATTTGGTAGCGGAAACTCCAAGCTATCCAATGCAACAATCGCCGAAGAGTTACGATATCGGACACCAGAGATATCGCGCGCCGTATTTTCACCTCAGCAAATTCAAATTTTTGATCGATCACTTCGCCATTTTTGGGGGAAATCCCTTTACTTGTGCTCTTTGAGCGACTAAGCACGTGATATTGACGTAGTCAGCTGAAGTTTGAATCGTCTCAAACAAATTTGAGCGTTCTACGATGAAGGAGAGTGGAATGGCGTTGATGGGACGAAATTGCTTGCATATCAGGCTTGGAGACGACTTTGCTGTGTTACCGCGCCTGATTTGTGGCGACTAGATAATGGAGCTTGGTACCCTGGCGTTGCTCTTGCCAAGAGCTTTCCAACGAGCCCTAGATTGTGAAAATCAAGTGAAGGAGACCAAAGTTATGACCTGGTGAAGTTGGAAATTGTGCTGAAATTCGTAATCCTGGTACATGCTGTGCAAGTAATCCGGTAATAAAGGGTTAACATACATGTAGCAATAATATCAAAGGCCCTATTTTTTTACTTTCTTCACGTTGCTTATTTTTATAGTGATACATGTACCGTAAAATCCCGCCAGAGCGCCCCTACCTCCTCGACGCTTCAGGTGGGGAGGGGCGGATGGGCGAGTCCTACTTGCCGCATTCAGTGCTACATGAAAAAGTACTCACCCTACGAAAACTGTTCGTGCATCTCGTACACCGACCAAAGGTCAAGAGCCAGGAGTCGTACAGACCCGACAAAACGCAGGGTTTGTGCGATCCCTGGTCAAGAGGGTGGGCACTGTTGCGTACATGTCCAACGGGGTCGAGCACGCGTCTGCAGTACAGTACGGCATCACAGACTGCGACAGAGTCATACGAGGATACAATCAATCACGTCCCTGACAAGAAGTCAGGGAGGGGCGGATGGGAGAGACGGGGCGCTCTGGCGGGATTTTACGGTACATGTACATAACAGAATTTTTTATGGAAATGCGGGCACTGTCAACTATGCAGCATGCTCATTTGTCGAAACGCCATGCTGGAAGTATTTCCTTGCCTTTCATGTGTCGATCGAAAAAGAAAAGAAAAAATCGATCGTATCGCATATAGTGATGCATCGGTTATGCTTGTACACTCAAACGCCTCGTATCTCGACGCCTCAGATACAGGCACGTCTCTCTACCGGCCACCCTCAGCTTGAGTTCCTATGGCAAAAATGCTTCGAATTTGGGGGGTTGAACTTTTTTTCCGAATGCACAAGTGCTTATTTGTCACTGCCAACCTGTGTAATCCACACATTTTTATCCATGGATTATTTTTGTAACCTGAACATGTGCAATATGCGCCAAAAAACTTCTTCAAAAATGATAATGATACATGGTAGATGAGTTATCCTGAGATACGGGCAAATCTGAGATACGGGCAGTGCCCGGTCCCAAGGTGCCCGGATAAGAGACGTCCGAGTGTAGTGATAAAATCACGGAAATCAAAAGGGTACGCTATAGCCGATACAGACTGTACTTTTGATAGACAGTACTATATGTCGACTGATTTTCGGCCCATTCAAATGTCAGCCTCCTAGGGCTAAAACACATTTAGGCTGCAACAAATGTTCGGCCTGTACTGATGCTGCCTGTATACACTGTCATGCTGAACCTGGCAAAACAAAATTTCGGCTGCGGCAAATTTTCGGCCAAATATGATTAGGCCGAAAATACCGTACTGGCAATATATGTTGCCGCGTAACGCAGGGGGGTGCGGCGTAACGCGCGACCAGGCTAGTGCGACAAATTTTCGTTGCGTTCGTAACGCGCGTCCGGCGGGGTGCGGCGATCTTTTCGTTGCAAAAAAGGCTGAAAACTGTGAAAGCACGTGTACCGCGTGGTGAAAAATTCAAAACTGGACGCAGCAGGAAGTCCTGCAATAGCAAAAAAAGGACTGCGGCAATATAGAAACCTGTGTAACGGCTCCTGTGCGACTTTGCATGTAACGCCCTGCGTGCGGTAAACATGTGCCAATGTAAAGCTTCATGGCCTCACTGCGACCATATATATTGCCAGTACGGTAGCCGAAAATAAATATGAAAAAAAATAAATATGCGCCGAGTATTAGTTGACTTACAGTAGGTCATAACTGGTAACATTTGGTCCTTTATTTATTTATTTACTTGTGTTCTGTGTTGTGTATTGCCTTGCATGCTCGGTGCTCCAGTCAATTAGTCGCAGCAGTAGCATCGGTAGCGTGCAGAGAGTCCCGTCTGATGGCGACGTCAAATCGGATGGCGAGAGCGAAATGAAGCGTCAGCTGCCCGTCTGCAACTTGCACGTGTGTATTCTGGATACGGAGGATCACACGGAGTGCGAGGCCATCGGTCAAGGACGTATCCTAACGGTCAGCTACTGCGAAGCGACCTCCGGCACCACGAGCGGTAACAACGTCTCGACGAGATCTATCTTCTTCAAATCGGAAAAGGAGGCAGGTTCCGAGGAGGCCGATGAGGTATGTGAAGCACGTGACACTTGCTTTTTTTTTCCACATGCTGGTTTGCTAAGTTAGTAGAGATGTGACTCTAGACGGCTGCGTGCTCTGATCCTTGTGATGATGATGCGTGCCCATGACATCACACAGAAGAAGGCTCATTGAGAATCTCTCTTCTTCTCTCGATCTATACCGTATAATCATACCCACTCGAGGTCTAATCGAGTGAGTACGGTATCTATCTATTTGGCAAACTGCTTTTGATACTGACAATAGAGGGGTTCTGCACTACATAAAGTTGAGCAACTTTGCGTAATTGGGCGGGAAAATCCACGAATTCGCGAGTTTGCACTCCACTTACGGAAATTTGTCTACGTAGAGTATGTAAATGGAGCTGTACTAACGGAGTCGGAGGTGCTCCGTAAGTGGATTGGGGTACTTATATAAATTTACAACTCTCTCTAGGTCGTACAATAATGCGTTTGGAGTTGCCAAAAGCAGCTACAGTCAATTTTGCATATACAGTAACGACACTCGGCAGGGCATCAGAAAAGTGTCCTTATTCGCGAAGTGTCCTTATATCCGAAGTCTCATTAATGTATTACAGTTAGATGGGACTTTGCTCTGGGCACGGAAATTCTGTCGTTATTCGCGGATTGTCGTTATATCCGCAGGCGTTATCTGTACGTGATTCGAAAACTATGTATGGCGGAACACGGATCCGCATGCAGTGTACGTAAGGGGTCGTCGCAAAAGTTTTTTGTCGTCCCGAAACGAACATGATTCATTTGGGGGGGAGGGGGTGCGAGCCAAAATCGCAAGTCGACCGACACTGTACATATGACATGTACATGCATGCGATTTTCGTCGTCCAGCATAGCAAGCTGTGTTTGTTTCAGAGGGAGGGGGGGGGGGGGGGTCCGAGTACGAAATGAACGATGTTCGTTTCAGGGACGACAGAAAACTTTTGCGACGACCCTTAAGACTTTCCGTAGATCGATTACGTTTTTACTAATGTAATTATGTTGTGCGGAATCTCTTTAATGACAGGCTACACACTTTCTGCTTTAGCTCCCAAAATCGGGGCTTGCTCAACTGAATCACCAGTTCTGTTTTGGCCTGCTAGTAATGAGTATTGGTGATAAAGAGCAGTTAGCAAGTATTGAGCGTTGGTGATAAAGGATAGTCTGTCTGTGACTCTGATTGTCCTTGGCCTGCTCTCTGTGTGAAACTTAGTCAAATCTTCCTGGAAACCACTTCATGTGTAGCTGGTAAACTGCCTCCAAGACCAGTCCGTGTCTGTAGGCAAATTCGTCTGGAGGCCTTGTCTTTATCTACCATCCACACTGTGCACAGTGTTGTCTATTTTGTAAAGATTGAAATTTACTACTAGTATACTGCCAGTTCCGTACTACTGTAAAACATGTAATCTTAGGTGCATTAAAATTTCCGTGCCAGGGACCTGCCAGGTTTCGGTTGTAACGTAGAATTAGGTGACCAGCTTTCCCTTCACATGCAGTGCATACTCTAGTGGCTTTTAGGTGTAATTTAAATTTAGGTGCCTGGTTTCTCTACTGAAATCACCGAAATTAAAGTTTCCACCGAAAATTATATGTTTTACAGTAGAGAGGTTCTGCACAACGAAAATTCGAACGAAGTTTCGCGACAGGCCTTGCGAAAATGTGTACGAATTTTCGCACGAACTTTGTGTTCTGCACATTTTCGTAGTTTGCACGCGCCAAGTGCACGTACGACATGACCCAATCTCACGAAACTTCCTACGAAAGTTCATTTCGCGTTCCCTGCAAGTTTCGCGTCCAAAGTTGCGAAAGTTCGTGCGAAGTTTCTCACTTCGTGACGTGGAGCGAAAGTTCGTACACATTTTCGTTTTGCAGAACCTCTCTAGTATCTCCTCGCTCCGGGGTCGTCGCAAAAGTTTTTTTGTCGTCCCTAAAACGAACACCTCATTTTTTGTGGGGGGGGGGGGTGTGGGCCTAAATCTCAAGTCGACCGATAATGTACATGCGCATGCATGTGATTTACGTCATCCCGCGTAGCAAACTGTGTTTAATTCGATAGAGGAAAGAGGGGGTCAGAGTACGAAATAAACGATGTACCTTTCGGGGACGACAAAATCTTTTGGAATGACATCTTGGACAATGGAACTAATAGAATTGCATTGGAAAGGACTTTCTTCATAAAGAGACGATGGGGAAAGAATCTCTGCCACCAGCTGTGCTAGTCTCTCTCTCTCTCTCTCTCTCTCTCTCTCGCTCTCTCTCTCTCTCTCTCTCTCTCTCTCTCTCTCTCCGGTCTCTCTCTCTCCGGTCTCTCGGCGTGACCCGTTCTTCTTTCCTGAGGACAGTATTACGCCGTGCTCTGGTCCAAAGGGATGACCGTGAACTACTGTACGACAACGGTGACTTGACAGGGTGATGAGAGAACGGGGATGAATGATGACTATGCACTATTGCTGATGGATTTCTGCGGGAAGGACAACTGGAGATGACAACTGAAATCGGAAGCGGAGGCCTTGCAGGTCGAATTCCTTTCTGCGATGCTGCCACCACTCGTAACATGGCAACCGGCATCAACATTCACTTATAATGGTTGTAGCTTGCTAGGTTCTGGCTGCACACATCAGTGGTTGATAGTGTGGTTCTTGTACTCCTCAGGCAAGGCGTGTCTTGATGTTACCTCTACCACCAGTGTCATAATGTGTATTTCGTTACAACACGAAATAGTGCACTACGATAATATGGATGTGTTCAAACTGGTTGGACTGCAACTTCTACGGTACATGTATGGCCTACTTCTGCACACGAAGTATGTGACTATTTCTCACCTACATGTATATACCTGCATGATCAACGACTCTAGTCAGCGTCCACTTTTTGATGGTACTTTCCACATTGGCTTAGCTTGTAGGCGTCTTTGGTGGTACTTTTCACATTGGCTTAGCTTGTAGGCGTCTTCGATAGGCGTCTTCGATGGTACTTTTCACATTGGCTTAGCTTGTAGGCGTCTTCAAGTTGTTGAGGACGTCAACGTCACCTGCCTTTCCGCTGCGCTTGTGTACACACCCAGTGCATGTCATGTTCTGTACACAGGATATGGGACAAGCAGCGTTACAGTAGCGCTCAGTAAAGTCTCAGCAGTGTGTGTGTGTGTGTGTGTGTGTGTGTGTGTGTGTGTGTGTGTGTGTGTGTGTGTGTGTGTGTGTGTGTGTGTGTTAGTGAGTGAGTGAGAATGTGTGTGAGAATGTGTGTGAGAATGTGTGTGAGTGAGTGGGGGGGGGGGGGGGGGGTGCGTGTGAGAGAGAGAAAGAGAGATAGATAGACAGACAGAGAGAGAGAGAGTGTGTGTGTGTGTGTGTGAGTGTGTGTGTGTGTTCTGCATGTACTCGCCGCCTTCCTCCAGTCTGCACTTATCTAAACAACGTCCAGTGTAGTGTACTAGTACTGGCAAGACTGGTGGTGGTGTCTCGCTAATCTGGTGCTGATTCTTCTGCAGGCAATGGACAGACGAGACGCCCCGGCCTGCCCAGTTCACCATGGTCAGATATGCACGGAGTGGACCAGGAGGGGATGACTTGCACCGGGTAGACCAGTTGGGGGGGGGGGACTTTACAGATATGTACCGAGTGGACGGGGGGGGGGGGGGGCTTGCACCGGGTAGACAGGGGGGGGGGGGGGAGGGGAGGGGGGGTGATGACTTTATAGATATCTGGCGGATAGTCCGGGCTGATGGCTATACAGATTGCAGCATTGTTGAAGCCACTCGTGCACTGCACTAGTATAACCTGACCGCATACTCCTGTCCTGATGGGCACTGGGTGATGTCGCATGTACAGTACATTGTGTACACGAGGAGGGTGTTCTATGCACGGATGCAGAGCTTATCCACGCTGCTGTGTTGGTGTGTGGGTGTCTGTGTGTGCACACTTTCATCTCCAGGAAATTGAAGAATGGCTAACAGCAATTCTCAAGGTGAAAGAGTCCGGTGAAGGCCAGGAAGACGCTAAGACTGAGCTGAGTACTTCCAAACATGATTGCCTGCTGAGTGCTGATGATGCTCTAGCGGAAGACAGGGAGGAGAAGATCGTAAGTTGAATGCCTTCCTATTCTGAGATGGTCCTTGAGAATACTCTCAATACTGTTCATCAATTAGGGGGAGCCGTGGTTGGCTCTGGCCATCTCGGCAAGAAGGCAGATATGCCTGTTCGATTGGTGAATAAAAATACCATACCATACTGGCCAGTGTAGTGTGAAACCGTTCTTATCACATCAAAGTACCCCGGGACGTGTGTTGTTGTTCTTGAATAGGGAGGTTTAGTCCCACGTAACGGATACGGGAACATGGGTGATACACACGTAAAGTTCATGCAATGGACCCACGTTCGCAATGTTGTTTTTAGTCACACGGAACAAACAAAAGCGTGAAGCGAAAGGCCCAAGCTTGGCCAAAGACGAAGCTTCGAAGCTCATCGAATATTTTGATTTCGTGCTTCGGAAACTTCTTCAGCTGAGCACCCTCACACCTTACACGTGGGACGTGGGTAAGCCTCCATACACGGTATGTCGTGAGTCAGAAAATGGCTGTACGTGGGTCACTGGTGCACACCCGTAAAGTACACACGGATTACGTGGGACTAAACCTCCCTATTGCTGGTGGGGGGGGGGGGGGGTGTACTGCCCTGAACGCTGTTAGGGGGGGGGGGGATGTATTGCCCTGAACACCGTTGGGGGGGGGGGGGGGGGGTTGTGTAACTATCATTGCTTCCTATGCACAAAAAAAAGCAGGCCAATGTGTCTAGTACCCGTATTGTATGCAATACGGCTTGAGCATGTTGCAAACACGCACATGTCATATCATGTTCTGTACATGCGACAAGCAGTGTCACAGTAGCGCTCAGTAAAGTCCGACCCAAAGTGCATATTTGGCAGTAGGTATATTTGACACCCTCAACTTGCACTGCCCTTGACACCCTGAAAGTAGTGCAAACACGGCTGGGTGTGGCACACACACATACATGTACCAGTTCAGTGCTGCTGTACAGTAAACCTGTGACTAACGACCCCCCCTTGGGGCCAGAAAAAGCGGTCTTTAGTAGCAGGCTGGTCGCTAGTCACGGTGGTCTTTAGTAGCAGGCTGGTCGCTAGTCACGGTGGTCTTTAGTAGCAGGCTGGTCGCTAGTCACGGTGGTCTTTAGTAGCAGGCTGGTCGCTAGTCACGGTGGTCTTTAGTTACAGGTTTTACTGTAGTCGGAACTGGTCCAGGGCACAGGTTTTGCCTTTGGGGTCTGATTTCACCGAGAGCGCAGCTGTAGTACTACAAGGAGCGACTTGCCCTACAAGAGGCTTTCCACACGGTGGGTATGTAGTGCCCAGGGCCCCATGGAGAGTTATGGTACTGTGCGACTTGTCATATAATTATTTGCTTCCCCGTCATGTATTTAGTTCTTGTTTGAAGTATGTTCTGGTCGCAATGACCTTTGGCTGACAAGGGCCGAGAATGCAACATAGAAGGGGAAGGGGGAGGGGGGCTAGACTTTGACTGGGTGAAAACAGGATGGTCATGCTTGATAACACACTATTGCTCAAGTTCATGATATCGTTGACGTTCTGCTCTTCTGTTTCCTGTTCTTGTTGCTGTGTGCGATATGCACAGAGGTTCGACCCAGTGCATTGCGGTTGGATCTACAAGAAGGGATCACAGGTATGCATTGATATCGATTTCCTAGGGCTTGAAAACATATGTTGAACTCAGTAGAGAGTCCAGCCCCTATATGTTGTCCACCCCCTATATAGAGTTCATTGGTCCAAAATCCACTATACACAGTCCGAACTTGGAATCAACTGTGAAGACTTCAAGTTCAAAGTTTAGATGGACATCACTCCCTGTATAGAGTCCAGCCAAGAGTAGATAAACAAGAGTGTGCAACTACGCATCTTTTCTGCACAATCTGCCGATATCACGGGCCACGGCAGAAATTTTTGTTGACGTCACCTTTTTTCAGAAAACATGACACGTGTCGTAGAGCACGTGCTGGGCACCGACTTTGTAATGTAAAGCCCAGCCAAGTGCACCAGGCAAAACTTCACAAAAGACTCGCAGCGTGTGCGTCATAGAAAGAATTACGTCAACAAAAATTTCCGCCATGGGCCATTCCATCCGGGAGTTGCACACTCTTGTTTATCTACTCTTGGTCTTGCCAACTGGCTCCCCCTATATAGAGTTTTATTCCCGTAGCTATGCAGAAGACGTTACTTCAGTAACGTCTGGCGCTAGCCAGGGTCCACACAGCTTTAATTTGGTGTTTGTTTGTTTGTTTGTGTGTTTGTGTCACGCCTGGAGCTATCCTGTATCTGTGACTACAAAGGCTCTACAGGATTGTACATAACAGCTGGCCACAATATTTGCTGGCTCCAGTATCTGTCCCGTACAGTACCATCAAACACAGCTGGCCACAAACAGCTGGCCACAATATTCGTCGTATTATGTATACGACTCCCTGATGTAGAGGGAGATTTGGAAAGAAATAGGGAGACGAGGAGGAAATGAAATTAGAGTAGACGCCGAATAGGTGATAGGATGCGTCAGCAAAAACATACTTTGGAAGAAAATCCCGTCGTCTCCAAAATAAGCGTGAACGGGCGATTCACGCCGGTCACAGGAAACGTCGGAAGAGAGATCCCGTCGACTCCAGAACGCCAATGATCGGCAGAGTCAGCGCCGGTCACAGGAAACGTCAGGACAGACATCCCGTCGACTCCAGAACGCCCGTGATCGGCAGAGTCAGCACCGGTCCCAGGAAACGTCAGGGCAGACACCCCGTCGAGTCCAGAACGCCCGTGATCGGCAGAGTCAGCGCCGGTCCCAGGAAACGATTTTCGCTGGCGATTTAATTTCGCTGATTTCGCCGCTTAGTACCAACCGGCCACAGTAAATCGCAGGCCAAAGTTTGTTATAGAGGCAAATGATGCATGATTGAGCAATGGATGCATGTGAGAGCAAAAAAACGATCGATTTCTTTTTGAAAACTCCAATCGGCCAAAGTTAAATGACGGCGAAACGTTTAGTTTCGAGATCGGCCAAAGTTTCGAGATCGGCCAAAATTTGTTGATTTACAGTATAAGGAGATAAAAAGAAAAAAAGGAGCAAACCAAAAGTGGATGAAGTTACAGTCGATCTACCCTTATAACGATAACCTCTATAACGATATTACCCTTATAACGATATTTTTCTGCCAAACCAAATCACTCCATTGACTTGTGTATACAGTGCCTTACCTCTATAACAATAATATTGTTATAACGATATTACCCCTATAACGATATAAAAGGGCTGACCAATCGACATTTTCCATTTTATATTAATATCTAGCAAGCAACATGTAGAGCCCACTATCCAGGTAGGGCAAGCTTAACTTGATAAGTCGCTGGGACATGAAGAAATGCAATGGGGGCACCAGTGGGCACCTTGCTGTTCACATAATGTGCATGTACATCAGTTTTTATGCTATGAAGAGTGTAAAAAATGAACAGAATTCATGCATTATGACGTATGTGTATGAAATGAACCAGTTACCCCTATAACAATATTACCCTTATAACAATATTTCTTGGTGTGACGGAAATATCGTTATAAGGGTAGGTCGACTGTAGAGAAAAATAACAATCCGCAATAAATTCTACAAATACTTTTGCTTAACTCATATTCAAACTGATCGAAACGTTTTTGCAATACAATGATGTGGCCAATCAACGGGAAAAAAACATTTCCATCAGTTCTAATAACATGTACGATGAGCTAGGCAAAAAAAGCATAGCGTAGGGCCCTGAGCTTCCAAGCTCTCTCGTTGGTTCTAAATCCACTGTACACCGTTCAAACTTGGAATCAACTACAGCGAAATCCAGTCGCGTCCTTCAACTACACGCCGGGCGATACGTAGCCCGAGACCTGTGAACACGGGGCTGCGAAAAGGTGCAAACTTGAGTGATGCGATCGCGACTGGATTTCATTGAGCAGGTCTGTATAAGGAGTCTTTATATGGATGTCACGCCCTTCATAGAGTCCAGCCAATTGGGCATCCCTTATGCACAGTTCAAAATTAGACATAGGATCTGCTGTACGCAGTGAGTGCGTTCGATTATGCCCGCGAATCGATTCATGAAGCAATTCATGAATCGATTCGCGCCATTCACATCACCCCATGAGAATAGGGTGAATAGATTCCGAATCGATTCCAGGGCTCATGACATGAAAATCGAACGACTTGAATGCGCCTGAATCGATTCAAGTGCATAATCGAACACAGCCAGTGAACTTTAACCGGAACACCGCCTCTCACTTTGATCTTTAAAGGGGAAGTTAAGGCAAAAATTAAAATTTCACCAGTTGTAGTCTTCGGGGTGCTGAGTCGAATGGTCGTGGTCCGAGGAAGCTAAGACGCTCCCTTCCTACTTGAATCCCAATCGAACCCGCGCACTTCCACCGAAACTGGGTGACTGCGCCCTACTAGATGGGGATTTGTATGCAAAATGTCACTAAAAGCGCCATTTCGTTCGTATAAAAACACGGGTGACCGCGATTGGCCCATATGTTGTAGTCTTTTGGACGCTGAGTCGACTGGTCTTGGCCCGAAAAGGCTGCGATGCAGCGTTCCTCCTTTATTCCCAATCGAACATGGTTGAACAAACGGTCACGTGCTCCTGCGTACGCCAGTCACCTGGTCACCGTGCCTGCAGGGTACAACTTACTAGCCTGTTTGACCTTGTTTGGGTGCAGTCCTGTCACTCGAGTTGAACCTTGGTGTGAAAGTTGTCGCCTGCTGGCGTGGTGACCAGGTGATTTGGGCACCCAGGAGCACGTGACCGCTTGTTCAACCATGTTCGATTGGGAATAAAGGAGGAACGCTGCATCGCAGCCTTTTCGGACCAAAACCAGTCGACTCAGCGTCCAAAAGACTACAACATGTGGGCCAATCGCGGTCATCCGTGCTTTTATAAGAACGAAATGGCACTTTTAGTGACATTTTGCATACAAATCCCCATCTAGTAGGGCGCAGTCAACCAGTTTCGGTGGAAGTGCGCGAGTTCGATTGGGATTCAAGTAGGAAGGGAGAGTCTCAGCTTTCTCGGACCAAGACCATTCGACTCAGCACCCCGAAGACTACAACTGGTGAAATTTTAATTTTTGCCTTAACTTCCCCTTTAATACCATTTGCTGCTGAAGATAAAAAATAAGTCGTAAACTTGATCAACATCTGCTCTCCTCCCATGAGTTTTTCCTGGTCGAAAAAAGAACCTTCTACTACTATAAAATAAGTGTTGAGGAACATACATAATATTGTTCTCAAATTATTGCGCACGCGCGCGCACACACACACGCGCGCGCGCATACACACATACACGCACGCACACAACGCCAAGAAAACCCTAAGAAAAAACAAAGAACGGAAAAGAGACACAAGTGTTGCAGGGGATGATGTGATCATCGCCGATATCAACGTTTCCGATCGGGTCCTCGGTATGGCTCGGGAACCGGGCACCAGTCTTCAAGCTCTGGCACTGGATCCAGAAGCTTGTTGTGCCAAACGCGCCCAGGCAACACATGACGGGATTGCAGATGGCCTCTGGCAAAGGAAGCTCTTGCCCCACCGCCAAGGAAGCTTTCGCCGCACCGTCGTCAGCCTCGACTTCATACTGCAGGAATCCTACTCATCGTGCCCAACGGCAACACCTTCGTGCCACTGTGGATGAAGGCCAGCCACGCCTGCAGCAGCGCTGCGCGGCCACACCGTTTCACCAACGGCATGTTGTGCCTGCCCTGCACGTCCTTCTGGATTATTCGCCCACTGCAGCTCTACCGGATAGCACTCTGCGTCCACCATACGTACCATACGTGTATGACAGTGTTGGATCTCAGTAAGCTCCATTGACTTGTGGAAGAGGCACTCCTCCTCCAAGTCGAATAAGAAAGTCTTATAGTACCTGTGTATGGAGGATGAGGGTACTGGCTTTGATTCGCCTTCAAGATGGCTGGAGATTTTCTCTCTCCCCACTTCGGGTTCTCTGCTTTTAGCTTGCAGACTATCTTGATTTCCTCAAACAACGACAGAAAACTCTCAGCGTTCCTGTCCTTGGTCTTGGACACAGCGCGTTATCTTCGTTCCAACGCGGATTCCGCCATATAGTTTTTTCTTTCAATGTGGACCCTTGTGCTCTAAGTGTTGTATTTCCTATTCTGGCCTGTCTCTCTGCAGTTAAGTTCTAAATGGCAGAAGAGATGGCTGTTCTTGGACTGCAGTACGTTACAGTTGCGCTACTACAAGTCTCCAATGGTGAGAATACTGTGCTTACAATGCAAGGCAAGGTTGCTGGTATCCCTGCATCTTGCATTGGGGAGAGACAGAGACACGGGGAGGGGGGGGGAGGAGGGAGAGGGAGACAAATCCCTGGTGTACATGGGGACATGGGTAACCTAGTGTGTTGAGTGTGTTGTCCCAGACACAGAGTGGAGTTCCATTGTTACATCAACACAACTGCATGTATTTAGGATGTCAAGATCCTCCATCTTCCCAGCATGTGTTATACTCAGACTAGCATGGCCAAGTGAAAGATAAATGAGATTCAAGACATAGGCGTTCTTCATGACTTCCAGAACCGAAGCGTTTCAACAAAACCAACAGTGGAATTGTCCTCGGGGGGGGGGGGGGGCAGATTTCTCAATAGTGATTTCGTTGGTGTAGAGTGTATCTATTGCCCTGGCATACTATTGGTGCAGCTGTGTGTTGGCCTTCATATCGATCAGTGTGAAGTCTTGCTCATGAGGTGTGGTTCAGCTTTGTACTGAGTATGTTGCTCTGTTAGCCTCTAGCTCTAGGGCATACTGTGTAATTTCGATTTGAAGTCCACGTATGTTCATGCAGTTTTCTATAGAACTCCCTTGGTACATGAAAAGTACAAACCCGTTCCTAGTACCAGTATACATATTCCCCCTCGTTCACTTGCATCCCCAGATCGAAAGTGTTGAGAGTAAGGCATGCAGCTCATCCCAATAGCCAGGCAGGTCAACACTTATTTTCCTTGATACAAAGCGCTTTGCTTTCCGAAAAGGATATGCTTCGATTGCCTTTCCAGCCATGTTTCTCTCCCATTCCTTGCGCCTGTCTCTCTATCTGCCTGTCTGTATGTCTCTCTCTCTCTCTCTCTCTCTCTCTCTCCCTCTCTCTCTCTCTCTCCCTCTCTCTCTCTCTCTCCCTCTCTCTCTCTCTCTCACACACACACACACACACACACACACACACAAACACACACACACACACTCTCTCTCTCCCCCTCTATTATATTATGCCGTTGCAGGACGCACTACCGCAAGGTGAAATAGCACTTGATAAGTGCATGCAGGTGAAGAAAGGCATGCCCGACCTGTTTCCAGAGATCAATCCTCCAAACACGTTCACGGTGGTATGCAAGGAGCGTAGCTACTGGATTCGCACCGACTCGCCCGACGCCACGCAGGAGTGGATTGATCTTCTTGAGGTATGCATAGTCGCAGCTGGCAACGCCCCGCCGTCAGTCCGCTCTAAATCGTTCTCGATGCGAGCTCGGTCGGCCACCACGTCGACTCCTAAGCCTAGAAGACTGACTATGTGTACTGTGGTGAGAGATGACTTGATACTAACACTCTACTAACACTCTACTGATTCTGATGTTGAGCATGATGACCCTGATCTGATCTAAGTGCCTTCTCTTCGGCTTGTCCACTTTCAGTCAGTAATGGGTAGAGAAGTTAAAGTGGATATTGGCACTGCACCCCCTCAGTGTCTCCATGTACAGTACTGTCGGGCGCCCAAGACCGTAGCAGCGAGGAACGAGCAGGCAGAGTTCCACCAAGCACGACTTACCAATGTTTACACGGTGACTCAACTGTGCATAGACTGCGATACATGACAATAAGAACAGCCTGGGCTGGGAGGCTGCCCCCCAGTTCTTCGGTGACCGACACTACTGAACGTTGTTTGAGACAGGCCAGATATTGTTGGCCAGGGCTGTGTGCTGTGCTTGCTCCAGGTCATCTAGGTCTGCTGTCTGGGGTGGATAAGCCGAATTGAACCCACTGCTGTAGGAATTTGACTTTGTTGATGCACGATGAACCTGCAAACTGGGATTGAATGACCTGTAATCTCCATCTTTCTCTGTCATTCTCTCTTGCTCTCTCTCTCTCTCTCTCTCTCTTTTGCTCTCTCTTGCTCTCTCTTGCTCTCTCTTGCTCTCTCTTGCTCTCTCTTGCTCTCTCTCTCTCTCTCTCTGTCTGTCTCTCTATCTCTCTCTCTTTTTCTCTTTCTCTCTCTCTCTCTCTCTCTCTCTCTCTCTCTCTCTCTCTCTCTCTCTCTCTCTCTCTCTCTCTCTCTCTCTGTCTCTCTCTCTCTATTTAACGTGGGGCATTGATTACTGTGACATCAATTGCTAAACATGAAAACCCGGAACCAACCCAGCCCTAGTGAAAGTTTTCGTTCTGAAAAACAATAATCTGTGACCTTAGGAACAATCTGAATAACAATGTGTATTGTGTATTACCTTTTAAAATACTTTCCGTTTTTAACTTATAATTTCGGTGATTTTCGTATAGAAATCAGGTACAAGTAGCTAAATTTGTAGTGTACCTAAAAGGCACTGAATGTGCTGGGGAGATTCCAGTCACCTGCCGCGATTCTAAAGTGCCTTCAGGCGGGCATGAAGAGTACATAACCCCTGAGAGTGTGCAACTGCCTGCACAACCTCTACCAAGTGCTGTGAAGGCAAAACTTTACACCACACGACATATTTCAATCGATCACGCTGGCAAACAGTACAAAATGACCTGAATCCAGATGGCAATGGATATAGGGTTGCGTACAGCCCTGTATCAATCGTGGAAGGGTTAAAAATACTAGTAATGCATACAGGTTTGTCACATGACGTGTGAAGTTCTGCCGTCACGGCCCCATCGCTGGAGTTACACGCTCTTCGGGGTTATGTGCTCCTGCTAACAAACACAATTATGATGAAATAAACAGGAAAGGGCACAGGCCCTAGTACGTGCAAGGGATAACAATCAACCTTGCACATGCTCCTGCTAACATATTATTGGTTTGAACTTGTTTTTATTAAAAGTCAGCCAGCAGTTCTAACCAATGACGATTTAAAGGGGCTAGTGCGGCAATGTCTGCGGTAGAAAAATGGGCATGATATCTTGCAATTTAGGCAGTCCGTAGCGTTGAAAAAGTCTGACCTTTCCTTCTGAATTCCTAATAACGAGAGAGCTTGAAAGCTCAGGGCCCTACGCTATGCTTTTTTGCCTAGCTCTTAATGCATGTTATCAGAACTGATCGGCTGACCTTTCGTTCGGAATTCCTAACAATAATCTTATGCTCCTCGCTGACAACTAGGGTAAACAGCATTGTGTACGGTGTCTCATATTTTACGTTACTCAGTAACTCCTTTGCCTGTTTGGTCAGTGACGTGAAATGTTAACAAATTCCGGTTGTCAAAACCGGCTAATGACTGTACCTGCCAATATGTGTCCATCGTTTGTGAAGATAACGAATTTAACCATTTTAATCATGTAATTTTCATCTATCCATGAACGAACTTCCTCGCTAAGGTGTGGTGAATGTTGGCCAAAAGCGCAGCGTGGAAAGGTGGACGGTTAAAATTGTTTTCAAATGGCGGAGTTCGTCGCAGCTACTGAGTAATTCGAATATAGTCAGACCTCGCATAACCGCACACATCCGTTTTCCACAAAAATATCTGGATAGGCGAGGGAACCGGATAATCGAACACACATACTGTATGTAAGCATGGCATATGCTGTACATTTGTAACCAACTATTTTCTTCCGGATGGCGAGGGATCCGGATAAGCGAGGTCTGACTGTACTCGTTAATAAAGGTGGTCTCAAGGCCGATTCATACTTCATTTCGCGTACGGGAAAGTCATCGCGCGATCGTCGCTCGATGGGCCAAATTAATTGAGTTCAAGTCAACTTTACCCGTATGCGACATGAAGTATGAATCAGGCGTTACAGTATCTAGACAACATGTGCAATAAAATCTGTCAAGGCGACCACAAGTACTCGCATAACGTGACCACTTATCCCAGAAGACCACTACATTCAGTGTACAGTGTATAAGCAAGGCATGTTATTTCCCGTCCAATCACACTATTAACGCTAAAATAGGCCGTATGCACGTTATACAGATGCACGGATCCCCGTAGAATCTCGTAGGATTTCGTAGAATCCCGTAGACCCGGTTAAGTGTTGAATGTGCAGGACCCCCATTGTGTTTACTGCTATTTCCACTACGAAATGGGGGCTGAAGGCATTTCATACGAAAACCTTTTTTTCCGGCATAGATCTAGCTTGTCATTAGTTCAACCCCAAAGTGAGGAAGCTGGAAAAGCGATTGTTTGCATTGTAGTTGGCAGGATTGACCTGGTTGGCAGGCATTCTGTGTAGCAGTGGTCCTTCCTATGTGCATGGCATGCGTGCCCTGAATAGGAAAATGTGTGACTTGGGTGCAGAGTGCATTGCAGCATGCAGACTGCTTGATTGAGAACAACAGCTGGGACAGCGCAATGTCGTTATGTGTGTGTCCTTGAATGTGGAGGTAACCCTTGTTGAGAGGTGACCACTCGGGGAGCTTCAACAGCATTTGACATCATAACGTGATCATTTCCCTCTTTCTTTGCCCCCCCCCCCCCCCCCGCACTGTCACTTTATTTGTGATTTTTGCACAGAAACGGTAACTGCACTTGGAGAGTGATGTGATTACTCATCACAGATCAATCGATGGTGCTGGAAAGAGAAAGCAAGAGGGTTTCATCCACGCGGTATCCGCGCAGAGCAGACAATCAGCGAATGTGTGTGTGCGTGCGTGCAGGTGTGTGTGTGTGTGCGTGCGTGCAGGTGTGTGTGTGTGTGCGTGTGTCGCCGTGAGCTGTACCGAGAACCGTCTCACGCTGCCGTTATCATTTCATATTGCTCTGCCGACACTGGTCGCGATGAACCTGAGAGTAGTCTGTTGACAGTGAAGCGCAGCGGCAGCAAGTCGCTATCCATGGCTCACACTCATCATTCCCGAACCCCGGCGTGTCAGCAGACAGTGGACTGCAACCCAGCTACAGGTTAGCCTGTGTGAGACTGCTGAAGCTAGCTTGTGTGAGTGTGCGTGTGTGTGTGTGTTTCCATTACGGACAAGTGTTTGTCCATGCCCGGACGCAACCCAGGGATAGCTGATATGCGGACACGTGCACACATGTTTGTGTATGAGTGCATGGACTACACACCTGACATTCAGTCGCCAGTATCTACCTCTCTCTGCGACTGTAATACCGTCCGGGCCAGCACAGGGGAGCCATAGCTGTGTTGGTCGAGTTAGAAAATGATTCACGGCAGTAAAACCTTACGCTGGCACTCCTTACGAGCACCATTTCCCGAAGCCTCGCAGCTCCACAGACAGCGGCCGCTGACATGGACTTTGACTGGCTTCGCCACACGCTGGCCAATTGCAATGCGATTTGGACACCCTGCTTCCGTGCAAGACCCAGTTCCTCCATGCTGCTGTACGGCTTCTCCCCCCCCCCCCCCCCATATGCTGCTGCTGCACCCCTCGTCGTCCCGTGCACAGCCCAGCCCCCCCCCCCTTGCACCCCCTGCACCATTGTGCTGCTTAGCGCCTACGTTGCCATTGGCCTAAGCTAGCTTCTAAATTTGTTCATTTTCTCTAGGTTCTCTACTTTCACCTCCCCTTGCTGTTGCTATGGTTACCGTACGCTCTACACTATACCCCCCTGGCCTGGGCCATGGGTGGTACTATTTATGTATTTTTGGATTAACACTTTTTGCTTCTGTAATTTCTTTACAAAGAAATCGCTGAGAAAGATAGCAGTCCGCTTACTTCCTGCTGTGCTCACGCCCGCATCTTTCTGACATGCGACCACTGTTACTGCACAGTCCAGGCCAGGGAGTAGTTGAATACCAGTATTTTACTACTCCCTGGTGCAGACAACACCCGCTGAGATTTCTACTAGCTCAAGTGGCCGTGTTGGCTGGCTGCTTCCATGGTCTTCATTTTGCGGTCGCTATGGTCGACCTTTATTGCTATCGCTGTACATATTATTCTCACATGCAGTAATAAGCGTAATTATTTAGCTTTTGTTATAGAGCCGTTTCTCTCCGGATTCCAAGCCTTTCAGGAACTCCACATGTTTTCCACTACTATAAATTATTCCGTTTGTTAATAGTAAATAGTTTTGGTGTGTGTTTCTTGATTACAAGCTTGAGTGTCTTGATGCTTCACCGCTTACAGCAAACCCCTTCTCGAATAGCTACATGCTCATATCATGCAACTTTAGTCCTTATTTTGTTGATCAAATTTAGAACTTGAGCATTTCTGCAAAATACGGTGGTCATACCGTACTTACATGTATGTTGGTATTCCCATCAGGAAATTCATTCCCCCTCCTGGCATTGTGGGTCCAGTGAGTGAGTGTGTGTGTGTGTCCGTGCGCGTGTGTGTGTGTGCGTGCGTGCGTGTGTGTGTGTGAAGCCATGTGCTGTGTGGATTAGACGGTTGTCTGGCGCTAGTCTTGATCTGTTTCATTCAGATTCAGATCCAGTATCGTTGCTATGAGAAAACCTGTGGTTGCACATCCAGTGCATTTGCAGATTTGCGTGCATCTCTTGTGACAGGCGTACCGGTAAACAGTGAGCCGGTGTGACTTCCCTCAGGAACGGAGACACATATTTACTTGTACTTATAGGTGATTGCTAGTGGAACTGGAGGATGCTGTATGTCACATGTAGTACTAACAAATATATTTTAATAGGAATGAGAAAATGATGAAAACAGGATGAGCATGTTCTAGATTGGAGAGAGAGAGTGTGTGTGTGTGTGTGTGTGTGAGAGAGAGAGAGAGAACTCTCGCTGGCCGCTAGCCTGCAGAGCGTGCTGCGTGCCATACTCAACAAACCAACCTACCCCATGTCAGTCGGCCCCTCGTATGAGGGGACATGTGACCGTCAATGTTCAGGACAGGTGTGTGCGTGCGTGCGTCCTATACCATATCCAAACATACTGTTGCTAACACCAAGAGTTCGCAACCCCAGGTTATGAACTCTTGCTAACATTGATAGCTCAGCCGAACCCCCTGGAGAAAGCCCGGGGTCGGCATGGATACTTGGCACTCTACAGCACTTTCCCACGACTTTTGGCTGCGGCTACAGGGTCTCCATGCATATAATTATGCCGGCATGGGTTTGGTCTGGAAGTACCGGCACTCGGCATGCAGCACATGAAATGGTTTTGATCAATTGAGGCCTACAAATTATTTAAAAAATCGCGATTCAGTGGCCGCGAGCTCTGCCTGTAACTGCCCAGCCGCGACTTGCAGGTGTTTTCTCAATCAATAATAAAGACATAGTTGAAATACTGTGCTTCCGTCTCATCAAGTTAGCGGCGCGTCTGAACAACAATCAAGCAGTAGTCACAAAGTAAACGAAAAGGCGAATGTCTAAAGACTGTCTCTGCCTCTGTGTCTCTCAACAAAGTAATAAAAAAAAGAGAGAGAGAAGAAGAATACAACAACAGCAGCAGCAGCAGCAACATCCAAGCAGACCAAACAGACAGTGGCAACAGCAAACAACACACAACACATCGCCTAGGCTGCAAGTGACAGAAAAAACAGCAAACAACACAACACATCACCTAGGCTGCAAGTGACAGAAAAGACCAGCTCTTCAGACTTCACATGAAAACATACACACTAAAAATATGCAGTACACTGAGAGAACGACGATCCGTAAACAAACAATATTGCATCTCTGTAGAAGCCAAACTCCCTGGAGACAGCTACTAGTGTAGTGAATAAAAAAAATATATATATATATATATATAAATACCATGAAGTTGGTTGCTCCAACGAGGAGCACACGCTTCTTGCCGAACTTGACACTTGACTCAACTTCTAAGTTCGTATATAAATACCGTTTGAGAAATTCAACAGACAAGATCAATTCCTAGCTGCGTTGCATCGTTCTATGTGTACGTGACAGCCAAATCTTTGTAGTTACGTTAGCTCTTCTTCCTTGCGCTGTTTCTGTTACCTCTCTCCTGTACTTAATCCACTGCGTTGCATCAATCAGCATAGCTCTCTAGTATGCACAATACAATAGTGCCTAACTGGAAAGTGAAGACAGTATTCGTAGAGCCATCGTAATGAGGCCACACACACACACACACACACACACACACACACACACACACACACACACACACACACTGTGCAGTGACAAGCGGACGTATGTGTGTGGGTGTCCACTGTCCAGTGTATCTACTCCTGTGCAAGACGGATGACACGTGCACACCAGAAACGATGACGTCATAGCTGATACTATACTAGTAGCCAGTAGTGACATCATCGGCTTCAGGACAAGAGCTTGGTTCATGATGCTGTGGCCAGGGCGATGGAGAGTGGCAAGTAATGAACACGGAGTGTCTGTTAGTGACAGCACAAGTGACAATCAAGATGATTACATCACTCGGTACATGTAGACACAGTGTGCTTTCAGCGTAAACGGCAGAACCCCAACACGCAGTAGACACGCCTGGGGTCATGAGGTTCGATGGGAATGTTCCAAGCGGAACACCATCAACACAGAGAGTTAATGTGTTGTTGGTTGGGGGCTTGGTGAAGCAGGACACGACGGAGAGAACTGGTAGACAGGTTTGATGGCTACAGCAGTACATGTGCCAGGGCTGGTGCAGCTACTAATGTTATACAGCAGTCCATGATCCAGTGCTGGGGCAGTGTACAATGCAGCAGTCCATGATCCAGTGCTGGGGCAGTGTACAATGCAGCAGTCCATGATCCAGTGCTGGGGCAGTGTACAATGCAGCAGTCCATGATCCAGTGCTGGGGCAGTGTACAATGCAGCAGTCCATGATCCAGTGCTGGGGCAGTGTACAATGCAGCAGTCCATGATCCAGTGCTGGGGCAGTGTACAATGCAGCAGTCCATGATCCAGTGCTGGGGCAGTGTACAATGCAGCAGTCCATGATCCAGTGCTGGGGCAGTGTTCAATGCAGCAGTCCCTGGGTCGGTGTTGGCGAAGTGTACAATACAGCAGTAGATCTACATGATACAGCGCTGGCGCAGTGTACCGCAGACACACCAACGTCTGAAAGAGACCATAGCGAGCAGCTGTGTGTTCACCACGGGGGGGGGGGGGGGGGGGGCATGTGTGACCACTTACACCAGCACTATACTGCCACCAGCCACAGTGCACCACTCGGGGAGTCGTAAGATACCGGTATTTTACGACTCCCTGGCGCCACTAGCATGGGTAGCACACACTAGTCGTAGCAACACTCGGCGACGGAGAGTACCATACTACCGCACGTCAGTACAGTGGCATGGACGGACTGAGCGTGTCCAAACGTGAAGTACACCAGGAGTAAACGTCTGTTTCTTACTGTACACAACGCCCTGACATGACCGGGTGATCGTAGAATCACCATCGCATAATGGTCCGAACTGACGTGGAGAACAGTACGTGTCAGCAGGCCTCCGCAGGCACAGCACACTGCCTGCCCACAGCGCTAGCGGCACAGCACACGTTCTACGCCATGAGCTTGGCGTCCTCCTTGGCCATGTCGGCCGCACCAGCACTGCAGCCGTTGCCCACAGCGGGATTCTTGTGCTCGACTACGGAGGCGAAGAGCTGGCGCACTACACGTACGCATCGCATCATGCAGCCAAGACATGCCGACGGCATGAAGCAACGCGAACCTAGGAAAGAAATGAAGTCCGTGCACGCAGCAACAACGCCAGTCAAGGAAGACAACAGCAGACAAGAGAGCTAGAATGATTTCTGCTCCGCCTCACACGCCAAACTCACATGTCCAGTACCCCGACAAGTAATTACTTTCAAACACACAACACCGCGCACGCCTTGTGTTCTATCCGACTTCCATACACACAGCAATTTTGACACGTCACGTGATCATTGCCTAGGTGGCAGCCAATGAGAGTGCTGCTCGTCACACATCCAGTGGGGCATGGTGTGGCTGCTTGTTGTTCTATATTTCTCCAGGCCAGCAAAGCCAAGTCACCATTTTGGGCATCGTCGCTGGTGCAGGCCGTCAAACATAAGCTCTCTGTGGGTCTGAAGCAACAGTAATACCCAGGATTCATTGCATACACACTGACTACACAGTCGACCCAGTGGTAGCAGTCAGGTCCTGGGAAAGGTCACAGTGGGTATAACCCAGGAGAAAACAGACCTGGGGCCCTGGTAAAAGGGTACTAATGCAGCGGTGCTCTGCCCTGCCCCCCCCCCCCCCCCCCCGCGGGCATAACCGGCCAGTTAGAGTTAACCTAAATCAGTAAAGCAGTTATGAACACCCCCCCCCCCCCCCCCCATTGTTGCAAGGAGGATATCAAAACGACATTGGCGGAGACACTCCATTCAGATAGCGCACAAAGCAGATCGCATCTCCCTGCACAGTGCACACATATAAAGACAAACACAACGGATTTCACCACACCGGTATTAAAGTTAGAAAATGCAAACAATTAAAGAGGATACTAGTAGATGCACATGTAGTGGCAGCCACGTAAAAATGCCAACCAATCGAAACAAGTGACCATAGCAACAACCAATCAACACACATTACCACTGATCGTCGCAACATTCAACAGCAGCAACATCACCAGTAGCAGAAGCAGCAGAATGGAGTATCCGTGTGAACACGACACACTCCCACATCTGGCAGAACTCACGTTGCTTTCGTTGATGACGTAGTACTCCTTGAGCAGACGATGCTGTCGGAAGTGATGCCGGTAGTAGAACGATATGGCGGCGGTGTTGTCAGACATCGTGTGCAAGAACACACAACGCACTGTGTCCACACGATCACCGGATGTAAGGTACTGTAAGAGATGATCTAGTAGAGTCGATGCTGTGCACGTGAGTGGACACCACATGGACGATGAGAACAAACATACTATAAGTCAACAAAATTAATATTCGGCCCACATTTATTTTCGTCTATTTTCGGCCAGGGCATTTTTCCTAAAATTTGTAATTTTGCTTTGCAAGGTGACAGTGTACACAGGCAGCTGTAGTACAGGCTGACATTTTTTTGCAGCCTAAATGTGTTTTAGCCCGGGAAGGCAGAAATTTAAACGCGCCGAAAATTTGTAGACTCAGAGTAACGTGACAGCAGTTGTGATACCGGTATACACATGCACACCAGCAGTTGTGATACCGGTATACACATGCACACCAGCAAAGATCAACAACGAAAGTAACAAGAGAGTTTCTCTGCAACGACACCGCACATACCCACTGGTATCTAGTCCCACTCATAGTCCTAGCGTTCTCAAACAAACGCGCCGGCGTTGAAAAGGAACAAAGGTGCACTACACATCATGCACCATGCATCAACGACACACATTCCCAAGCGAGCAGCAAAGGTTTTTTTCCCTTTCAGAATGTGCCATACAGAGGCAAGAAGACACAGTCTTATCGTTCGTCTACCCTACCTAGCCGATGCCGGCGATACGGTTGAAGAACACCAAGACTCATGATATACGCCGCTTGTGCAGTGTCCGGGAAGAAGCTACCTAACAAACCATCGTCCTGTGAGAAGAAATAGGAAGAGAAGAGCCGGCCAGGCAACAGAGGAGGTCAACACTCTAGTGCGTGCGTGCATGTGTGTGTGTGTGTGGTGTGTGGTGTGTGGTGTGTGTGTGTGTGCGTGCATGTGTGTGTGTGTGTGTGTGTGTGTGTCTGTGGTGTGTGTGTGTGTGTGTGTGTGTGTGTGTGTGTGTGTGTGTGTGTGTGTGTGTGCATGGTGCATGCGTGTGCACGCGTGTGAGGGGTGGGGGACGGATGAGAGGAATGGCAGCAGAAAGAGCACACACACACAGGAAACACACAGGAAACACAAACATGGCTGTGTGTCCAGCCCACTACCACCTCCCTTAAAGCATACAACAAACCATGAAGCATGGCAAATGTGTCACCAGGGAAGGCCGACACATGCACACCTACATACTGCTATCATGATAACACCGCTGAGCTAGGTCGTGTCTGGGGTCAGCATGGCAAGGACGCGGCCGCGAGTTGCATAGACCACGGATCACCTAGATCAGAAATATCCGGGCTCGAACTGCACATCGTTTCGATACGGGGTCGAAATGCACATCATTTTAGCTACTATGACTTTGCATCGCCTCCCTACATGCTACAACAGCTGTAGCCCCCCCCCCCCCCCCCCCCTCCCCTACAGCTGTAGTCAGCAGTTATCACTGATTGCCGCCGCCATACCTCTAAATTGATTTTACTGTGGTGTCTAATTTCGGCCACTAGCAGACCAATTAGTCTACCGTTGACAAACACTGCTAACGTGAAGAAGCGAGCTGATGAGCAAATGTTCTCAAACCACTCGTCTGTGTAGCTGTACCGCACAAGAATATAAAATAAACACATAAAGACATACACACACACGCGCACGCACACACACACACACACACGCATGCACAGACCGTCATTGGAGAAGATACTAGTATCTGTACAGCCAGATCTCGCTTATCCTGTCCTTTTTTTATCCGGATCCATTGCCATCCGGACGAAAAATGCTACTCGTGCAGTACAACATAACCGGACCTTGCGATCCGCATACCGGTGCATGGTTTTGTGCACAAATGGGCTTCAATGAGAGCTTCACATCGCGCGCGTGTGTGTGTGTGTGTTTAGGACGGAAAGATACCAGGTGGAGTTTGTAACAGAATTTGTTCCAAGATCTTTCATTCCTCAACCATGCAAGCAGGTCCATGGACTAATCCGATCATCAGGACGAATGCATAGTTCTGGGAGGTTGCTCGGATCGTAATGAAAAGTGAGCATTGAATTCAAAACTAATGGGAAATATCGAATCTTTTCGAACTATTAAAGTTACTTACTCGATTGGAAACAGCTGATTGCAGACGAGCTTCACATCCTGGGCGTCGCATGGTTCAAGAGCTCGTATAGTCAAGTCACGTATACTGGAGTCATCCGCAAACACACCAGCAGCACTCACAGCTTCGGTCGCCTCCATCAGCTGCTTGCTGCACACTCTACCACTATACCAGACCTACAAAATCCGAACACTACAAAATTGAATTCCAAAATACGAAATTGTCATAACTCGTGCTCCACTCGACTCATCGGGCGAGGCAAAGACAGTCAGCACACTGCGCTTCTGAAGAAAATATTGGTTCATTCCTGGCAAGGTAATGTATATTATCAAAGAGCCCTCATTGCCATAACCTCAATCAGGCAAAGTCTGCCTGTGAAGGAAAGCGTCTTCTGAGTCTTCTCAGTTCTCAAAATTTCAAAAAAGCCGGAAGATGCTCGTTCTCGATCTCGCTGCTTTTTGCTGTTTGTCTTGTTTGAAAACAAATCGATGACACGTGAGTGCATGACGCGACGTCGACGAGACGACGACGACGGTATACGTGTGACGTAATTTTGAGATGAGAAACCCTGGACCAAAAATATTTTCATGATCCAGCATATTAAAGAAAACCCCCCGCGCGCTAGCTTTGTCGGCATGAGTCCATGACTCACCTAGCGCGGGAGTTTTGAGTTTTGACTTCACAAAATGAAAAAAAGGAACACATCGAGCACACAGCCTAGCCAGCCACATGCACAGGATCTAGGCTCAAGTCAAGGAATCATTCTGCTTGCGGCTTCGAAGACATATTCATTAGTCCGCTGTTCATCATGGTCCTTGTTGGCATTTCATTTACTCTTTCTGTTTGTTCCTAGCCTCTGAGCCCACTCGCCATTATGGCCACTGAGTCAAACGAGACAAGCCCGCTGCTATGAAGAGGCCGCCGGAATGATAGGCACTGCCAGTACCAAACCCGCTCACACTGAGTCATAGACAGGCAGGGCTGCTCTAATGTTATAATTTATTTATAAACTATTATTTTGTGCTACTCGTTCCTTCTTTGCTAGCTACTACTAGTACTCGTCCTGCTAGCTGAACTTCGCAGTGCTGTCTCTTATCTTTCTCTTTCCGTCTCTCTCTCGTCTGCACAAGCAATGGCTTCCTCTCGTAGCTCTGTACAGCACATTTCCCAGTTCGCAGCGCGAAAAGAGCAAGAATGGCGAGAAGCGAACGAGCAGCGGCTCACTGCCCTGCAGCTGGCAATGAAGGAGGCAGAAGAAGAGCTAGGGCGAGAGCGCGCGCGCTTCCAGCAGCTAGAGGACGACTTCAAGTTCAACCTGCAGGTCGTGCAGGAGCGCGACGCCGAGCTGGAGCGCTACGACAGCGTCTTCAGTCAGATTAGCGTGCACCTGAGCGGCAAGGACAGCGAAGTCAGCGAGCTACGAATATCGGTCGACGAGCTGTCGCAGAAGCTGCAGCACGCTCGCGACGGAGAGCATAGAGCTCAGCAGGAGTACGCGGCGCGGCTACAGGGCGTGCAGCAGGACGCAGAGCTGCTGCGCGTAGAGAAAGACAAACAGCTACGCGACGAGCGTGAACAGTTCGAAGCCAGCAAGCGAGACTACCAGCTACTGCTAACTAAACTGGAGGAGGATTCTGCCCAGAAAAACAGGAACATAAGCAGTGCGTTCGAAGAGGCTCTCGGGCAGCGAGAGCACGAGTTTCAGCTCAGCCAGGACGAGTTATCGTCCACGCTTCATAGTCGCGAGCTGCAACTCCGCAGCGTGTCTGGCGAGCTGGAGAAGTGCAAGCAATCGCTAAAGAAATGCCAGGATGAGTGTCGGAAAGTGGAAGAGGCTAGCAAGCAAAATGGGAAGCTTGTGCAGGAGATGCGCTGGACGAGCGAGAGCCAAGACACAACGCAAAAAGCAAGGTCAGTATTAAAAAAGGGGGGGGGGGAAGTATACCCTAAAATCCAAATTTCACTACTCTTAGTCTTCAGGGTGCCAAGTCGAATGGTCTTGGTCCGAAGAAGCTGAGACGCTCCCTACGTCCCAGATTGCCCAATCGAACGTGCCACTTCCACTGAAACCGGGCAGGCGAAACAGTTAGCCCGTAACTATTTTTTTTCCATTTTCCTGTCTTGCCATGCAAAATGCAACGTCCGCCGGGGGGAAACCCTACCAGCCATGTGTGCCTTTACGAACCCTTTGTTACTGACTGTCGACTGCATTTTCGTTGAATAGCATGAAAAACACAAAATCAAAAAATAGAGTAGGGAGCGCCACTTTTTTTTACAGGAGGGCGCTGCTGAATCGCCCCCTAACCGCCTTTTGCTAGAACCTTGAGTTCATCATATTTTGTGTATTCTTCTGCAGGATATCAGAGCTGGAGACTGAGTTGCTGGAGTCTCGGCAGGAGGCATCGGTTCTGAGGCGAAACGGCGAAGAGAGGTGAGGCATTTTTCGGGTCAAGTAGCAGAAATACTTCCCATTAGGCATCGGCGGCTAATGCTAGCATTATAACTAGCATTATATGGGTGTTTTGAAGAAGTAGCAGTGCTCGGCATTAGGTGGCATGTTTTTGGCTGGAGAAAGCATTATAAGTTCTATTTTGGTACAATACAAGACTTTTTAGTTTTTACACGTCTTTTCACATGATCCTAGGCTAGCCCTAGGCTTGTACAGACTGTGACGCTTCGGATTTCATCTGCCAGGACTGTACAATGATGTATAGTACTGACTACAGTCTAGTACAGACTAGCGGTAGTGTACTCGAACTGTACACAGTCTAGTACTATAGTACTGACTACAGTCTAGTACAGGCTAGCGGTAGTGTACTCGAACTGTACACAGTCTAGTACCGTGTATGTGTGGGTATCTCCTGTGTCCGTTTTGTGCTCGCGTATGCACTTTGACCTGGCGCAAACAGGTTTCTCGAGATCTCGGTACGGTGTGCATGTGCTCTTTCGGCGCAGAGCAGAGAGCTGCACAAACTACAAAGCTCAAAAGAAAACGGCTCTCTTGCATCTGTTGAGTGTCGTGTTGTCGCGTTGGATGTTTACCTAGCTGCTGCTGTTTTGCAGCGACCATGGACAGTGACTATGAAGATACAATGGAGTTAAGTGATGACTCTGATGAGGAAACAGAGGAAGAGGAATGTGAGCTGCCCAAAGCAAAGGATGCAGCAATATCCCGGCCCAGGTCATTTGAACGGTCTTCCAAACCAAAAAAAACAGAACAAGAGTGCGAGGAGGGGCATCTACGACGGTGTCTCGCGTCAACTCCGCCAAACAGATTGAAGAGTTCCCAGGGGAGCACTTGTGTATATCAGCCGGACAGCTGTTCTGTGACGCTTGTCACACTGTTGTGATGCCAAAGAAGAGCATCGTAAAGGGCCACATTTCAACGGATCGCCATCGTCGAGCCAAGGATCAAAGGAAAAAGGCGGCTGCTCACCAGGCAACTTTGACAACTTCCTGGAAGAAGTACCAGGAAAAGCACGAGGAGAAGTTGAAGGGCACCGGCCTCAGTACGGCTATGGATGACTCCACCATCATGAGACGCACGAACGTTGTGGAAGCGATGTTGAAGGCTGGCATAGCACTAGCGAAGGTGGACTACCTTCGACCCCTTCTAGAGGCCAACAACGCCAAGTTGACGTTCAGCACCCATCTGGCGCAAATTATACCTTTCTTGTTGGAAACAGAGAAAGCTAAACTGAAGGAAGAAGTGAAGATGGCCCAGCACATTGCTGTCATTTTTGACGGAACAACATACCTTGGAGAGGCCTTTGCCATTCTAGTGCGTTTCCTGGATGACGACTGGCGAGTGCAGCAACGTTTAGTGCGTTTGCATGTGCTGGCTAAGTCCATGACTGGTTTGGAGCTAGCACGCGAGCTTGCAACTTGCCTCAGCACAACTTTCCAACTGGCAGATGGCAAACTTGTTGCATTTGTTCGAGATGGAGCAGCAGTGAACGGTGTTGCTGTGGACCAGGTGAAGAACCTCTTCTTTCCCAGAGCTATGGACGTCCTTTGCGCCTCCCATGCCCTGGACAATGTTGGCCGCCGCTTTGCAACACCTGTCCTGGCTGAGTTCGCAACCTGGTGGGTGAGCCTATTTGCAAAGAGCCCAGCGGCACGACTGGCCTGGAAAACGAGAACCGGTGTATCACCGAAGTCACACAGTAACACCAGATGGTGGAGTCTTTATGAAGTCCTGGCGCAGGTCCTACGCTACTTTGGAGATGTGGAGCCATTCTTGACAAACTGTGAGTGGAGTCTGTTTCGGGGTAAACAAGTTAGTTGTCTACGATAGGATTATATTCTCACTTGGCCATTGTAGGCAAATCAAGAACCACGACATCTAAAGGATGCTGCATGAAAGTAGGCAGCTGCGAGATGCGTATCTCGCGCATGCTCTTGCATGGCTACGTAATGCATTACATCATAATACAACATCCCCTTCGTCATAAAGAAGTTTAACAACCTACATAACATACCGTACGTATATGATGGCGTGTTCACAATATAGAACATAACATCCAACAATAGCTCTATGTACAAGGTAACAATCATGAATGGCACACGACGGCGTGCTAACAATACAGAGACATAGTATCCAACAATAGCTCTATGTACAATATAACAATGGCACCTCAGCTACTGTGACATAAGCGAACAGGTCCATGAGGCCTCTCTGGCCCTACACATCCAGGATTGACCTGGGTGCGACTGCGCGGCCAGACCGTGTTCGATACAGCTGGGTGGCAGGTTCAGCAGGCTGGCTGACGTCACACGGTGACGGCGGCTGAGACTGGCTAACGTCGCTCCACGGCGACGGCACGTCACTCGGCGGCTGAGGGCCTGCGAGACTGGCATCCGGCGGGAAGTGGACCCGCCTCTCTCTGAGGTGGGTACGGTTGCGCCGCACTTCTGTCCCATGGTCAGGCTGCACCATGTATGACCGTGGCCCGTTGACAGACTGGGTTACGATACCAGGTTCCCACAGGTGCGTGGTCGGGCTGCGGATGCCGACGTGCTGACCAGGAACTAGGGGGCGGAGAGACTGCGCTCGCTGGTCATGGTGTACTTTCTGCTGGTCCTGCCGTTCCTCGAGCTTCTGTCGGATGGCCTCGTCCCGAGTGTCGCGCTGGTGTTTGCGAGGCAGGTTGTCCTGTACCTGACGACCGAACAGCATCTCGGCCGGCGACGGTAAGCCCTGGCACACTGGGGTGGCGCGAATGCACAGCAGTGCTAAGTGCGGGTCGGTCCCGCTCTCCCTTGCCTTCTCGAGAGCTCTCTTAGCGATCTTGACTTGCGATTCGATAAACCCGTTACTCTGCGGGTGATGTGGCGACGACGTACTGTGGCGGAATCCATATTCGGCAGCAAACTCCGCGAACAGATGGCTGCTGTATTGCGGCCCGTTGTCCGACTTCAGCACGGCTGGGATGCCGTGCTCACCGAAAATCTCCTTGAGGTGCTGGATGATGGCCCTGCTGGTCGCTTGTCCGGCAGGCAGCTTCCGGGTGATAAAGTACTTGGAGTAGTAGTCGGCGGCAATGAGGTATTCTGACCCGCCGAGGTAGAACAGGTCCGTGCCTAAGGTGTGCCATGCCCTTGGCGGAATATCGGGCTGCATCAGTGGTTCCTTGGCTTGACTGCTCTGGTGGCGCTGGCACGTCGTGCAAGATGAGACAGTTGCTTCGATATCCTTGTTGATGTCCTTCCAAAAGACGGACGTTCTGGCTCGCAGCTTGGTCTTCTCTATGCCTTGGTGGCTGGCGTGCAGCTTGCTGAGGATTTCCCCCCTCATTGGCGGGGGAATCAGGACGCGACTGCTCTTCAGGATGAGACCGTCCTCGGTGCTCATCTCGTCGCGGAAATTCCAGTACGGGAGCAGAATTGCCGGCACCGCGCTCCTCTCTGATGGCCAGCCACTGAAGATCATCTCCTTCAGTGCTGACATCTCGGCGTCTTTAGCCGACTCCTCGCGAATCCTCGTCATCGCTGCATCGCTGAATTGCGGGAACACGGCGTGTACACTGACGTCGAGGTCCTCAATTGGCTCTGTTTCCTCTGGCGACAGTCGGGATAGCGCGTCTGCGATCGGAATGTCCTTTCCGGGGCGGTACTTGATGGTCATGTCGTACGGCTGCAGCTTCAGCAGCATGCGCTGTAGACGCGGCGGGGCTGCGCGGAGGTGCTTGAGCTTGATTGACTCCAGCGGCTTGTGGTCGGATTCTACTGTGAATGACTGACCGAATAGGTAGGTGTGGAATCTTTCACACCCGTATACGACAGCTAAGAGCTCACGCTCAATATTGGCGTAGCGAGACTCCGTCTCGGTAAGCTTCTTGCTGGCGAATGCAACAGGCTTGTCGTCCTGCAGCAGAGTGGCGCCGAGACCTTTCATGGAAGCGTCGACTTGTAGTGTCGTTGCCTTGCCTGGGTCAAAGTAACTGAGCGTTACTTCTGTCGAAATGGCGGCCTTGACCTTGTCGAAGGTGCGCTGGTGGCTGTCTGTCCAGGCGAACGGTGTATCTGGCTTGGTCAGCTCACGCAGGTGCGCGGTCAGTGTGCTGGCATTCGGTATGAACGGGCTCATGTACGTGACTAGCCCGAGGAACGTCTGGAGCTCGTCCTCGTTCTCGGGGTGCTCCATCTGCTTCAGCGCTGAGACCTTCTTCGGGTCGGGCTGTATTCCGTCAGCGCTGCAGATGATGCCGAAGAACTTGATCTTGTCCTCTTTGATGCGGCATTTGTCTGGGTTCAACTTGAGACCAGATTGTTCGCAGCGAACCATCATCTGGTGCATGTTGAAATCATGGTCCTCGTCTGACGTCCCGTATGTGACGATGTCGTCTGCGATGCCGGTGACGCCTGAGCACCCTTCGAACGTCTGGTCGATCCTTGCTTGGAAGACATCTTGCGACATCTTGAGGCCGAATGGCATGCGAAGGAATCTGTAGCGCCCGAATGGTGTGTTGAAGGTGGTGAGGTAACTGGATTCGTCGTCGAGCTCCACATTCCAGTACCCACATTTGACGTCGACGATCGAGAACACTTTGGCACCTCTCAACTTCGGGGTGATCTCTTCAATGGTGGAGACCACGTGGTGCTCTCGCAGGATGGCGTGATTGAGGTCCTTGGGGTCTAGGCACAGGCGTAGCTTGCCATTGTCTTTGAGGCGGAACACGAGGCTGTTCACCCATGCTGTTGGTTCGCCTTCCTGGATCTTGGTGATGATGCCGTTCTGGATCATGTCCTCCAGCTCCGTCTTGATCTCGTCTCTCAGTGCGATGGCGTGGAGGTGGCGTGGAGGGTGTACAACCGGGACGACGTTGGGGTCCACTGTGATGTGGTACTTGCCTGGGAATTTCCCAATGCCATCGAAGCACTTCGGGTATTGCTTCATCAGGTCGTCCTTGTCTCGGATGCTCGCTGGCT